TTTTTCCTCTCCCAGATTGAGAACCTCCCAGCAGAGCTCTTCCAGTGCAGGAAGCTTCGGACTTTGAACCTGGGCAACAACGTCCTTCAGTCGCTGCCTTCCCGAGTGGGTGAGCTGACGAAGCTGTCTCAGATTGAACTGCGGGGGAACCGCCTGGAGTGCCTGCCAGTGGAGCTGGGCGATTGCCCCTTGCTGAAACGCAGCGGGCTGGTGGTGGAGGAGGACCTCCTTAACACTTTGCCACTGGAAGTCAAGGAACGGCTATGGAGGGCTGACAAGGAGCAAGCCTGAGAGTCTCCACAGAAGAGGAGGTGGGGAGAAGAGGAAGGAAACCCAACACCTCAGGCCAAAACAGCCAGGGGGCGCGAGTATGGGGAGCCCCTCAGGCAACCTTGTCCCCATGTTCCCTTACCCAAGAAAACCCGAGCCAAAACAGACTAGCCAAGGACCGCCTTGAGGAGTTGGGAGAGGAGGTTGCTATTTTCCTTTGGAATTGCGGAGGTGGTGGTGGTCCAAGGTGAGGACTGTGGCTACAAACGAGAGTTTGTGGTTTGTACGGCATAGGAAGTTGAATGCGGCCGCTGTGACCGACCAGGAAACGGAACTCTAGAACTCTTGCACTGAGTTGTTGCGAGTGTCGGGAGGAGCTGGCTGGCATCCAAGCTGGTGGGGTGGGGTGGGGGAGTGAATGAGTGGGACCCATTGATCCTGTCCAAACCGCCTGCTGCTATGGTATCTCTGTGAGGGCTGTCCAGGAACCGGGTGTTTTACCGTTGTACAATCAAGGATAGGAACTGTGTTTGGCCTTTGGCCACACATCGTGACACTAGCTTTTTCTTGCACACACTGATTTATTAACTGTTGACTCATCAGTCTGGATGAATTCAGAGGAGCTAATAGGAAAGGACTTCTTAATTTCTCTGTTTCATGCTGACGTTGTTGGTCGTTTCTGTCTTCGGTCATTTTACCTCTTGATCACTACATGCGGAATTTTACTTTCCTTTTAAAACCTTCAATTAAAAATCCCCCTGCTGCCGCCATGTGGTGGCCTGATAGTAGGATGTTCCCACATCTAAATCTCTTCCTGCTTGAATCCGGCGTTACATCTGCCTCTGGGTGGGGTTGTGTTTCAAGAGTGGCTAGTATGGCTTAAGTGGGGAGATATATATATGAGAATGTATTACTGGAATCTCATGCCCGAAAGCTAAGGAGACAATCTGCAAAATTATTTTCAGTTGGCAAAACCACAGTACTGCTGTTTTCGACTACGTAGGGAAGGCAGGGCAGGCATACATTCGAATGTTCCTTTTCGCTCAAAACACTGGAATTCAAAACATGTCAATTCAAAGCATCCCTTTTTGATCACAAAGCATGGGCAGTGGGCATTAAAACACTAAAAAGCAGGAGTGGGGAACCTGTGCTCCCCTCCCCCAACAACTTTACTGAGCTCCCATCACTTCCCCTCCCCGCCAGAATGACCAGTAATCAGGGATGATGCGAGTTGTAGTCAATGAACATCTGGAACGTCACAGGTTCTCCATCCTTGATAAAAAGGAACAAGCCAGCTATCCTCTATACTCTTCAGCCTCCCCCTTGCCTAGTGCCTTCCAGATGTTTTGAGCTACAGCTCCCATCAGCCACAGCTAGCATGAGCTAATGGGAATTGCAGTCCAAACATCTGGAAGCCCCTAGGTTGGGGAAGGCTGATGTAGTCCTTGTTCTCCCCTCCCTCCCTCAGGTGCTGCCAACATCTTCCATGAGATATAAAAAACAACTTCCATGAGATATAAAAAACCAATTTCTTCTCCCCTCTCTCCTTACTATTTTTATAGCAGCTGGTCTGTGTTTAATTTTTTATATTATTTTGCTAGCTCCCATGGAGATAGCATTGATACTTGCCTCTTTTATCCGACTTGTCATTCCATGGGGCAAGAGGCCTAGTTCCCCTTCTCTGCAAACGTAGCGGAGTCTCTCTCCCCTGCCCCCCCCCCCCCCGTTTTTCTACTTCCCTCTTCAGTGTTAAAAGGAAGAGCATAAAATGCCTCCCAGGGTGGACTCTTCCCCTCAACCCTCATTTTTATTGCAGAAGTCTTGCTCTGGGGAGTGAGGAACACGTATAGAAGAAAAGTAAAATTTGCACTACTGTTTAATACAGGCTTTGCCAAGATTACAACCTCCAGGTGTTTTGTTAAGGCTATCAGTTGTAGTTGTAGTTCAGCAACATCTGGAGCTCACCAGGTTGGCCAAGGCTTTCACAGAATCATGCAGTTGTAGGGTTGGAAAGGGACCCCAAGGGTCATCTAGTCCAACCCCCTGCAATGCAGGAGTCACAGGTAAAGAATCTCCAACAGCTAGCCATCCAACCTCTGTTCAAACATCTCCAACGATACTTAAATTTTAATTATTGGGGTCTAATACAAGCATCTAAGCTGGTTTAATATACCTATCTATTGGAAAGGTAAACCATTTAACAGCTAGTGATCTATTGCAAAACAGGTACTGCAAATCTTAACGTACCGTCATTTATTTCAGACAGTTGTTTTGCTTTTTACTGAGATGCCAGGATGGTGTTGGTTTCAGACAAACGTTCGTGTGTATGCACGTTCGAAAATCTCCCCTCCTTGGATGTTTCTGGCAGTGAAGAGAAAGAATAAAATATACTGCTAGCTTCCTGTCTGCGTCTGAAGTCATAGGAAAAAGACCTGCACGCAATTTAGCAATGCTGAGGACACACACAGAAAAATCAAAATCAAATAACCAAACCCAACCAATGTTAACCAGGTATTGTCAATGTCTAAATAAAGCTACATGGAAACCTTATGGAAGACTCTCTTTTTATATGTTTGTTTAATACACACGCACACCAGCTGGAAGAATCCTACTGAATCAGGCCAAGAGGAGCCCATCCAGTCCAGCATCTTGTTCTCACAGTGGCCAACCAGATGCCCTAAGCAGGACCTGAGCCCTGGCAGCAACACTCTCCCCACTTGTGATTCCCAGGAACTGGTATTCAGGGGCAATGCTGCCTCTGATGGTGGCATTGACAGCTTTATCCTATCAACATCCCCAGTGACTAATGCGTGGACTTTTCAAGAACAACTTTCTGGCTACAGAAACACCTGCAGCGTTATTATTTTATTATTGTTATTAAAGGGGATAAAGGTAGTTTCTAGCTCTCTGCACAAAAGGTATCTGTCAAGGAATGCATATCTATATTGCAGTGTGCTATCAGTGTTCAAGCAGGGGCAGGCCACGGTGTGAGGTTAGTCACTGCTGCCACGAACATGGTTGGTGAGAACAAGGGTTCCCAAACTTGCCTGTGAGCTTCATTCAGGTGGCTCATGCTGTGTCTATGAAGAATACCTACAATTTGAATTATAGATAGATTTGCCTAAGGCGACCGGCAAGTGCAGTTAATAATATTTAATACACTGCAATACCTTTACAGGTAGGCAGAGCTTTCCAAACTCTACTTTGTGTTCGCGCTGCTTTGCTTAGCCCTGTGTTAAAAAGGAGACCCAATTGCTGGCCTGTCAATCCACATTAAGGAGAATCAACTGACAATCAAAGAATCCCTGCACTGGGTTGTTTCCTCCATTTTATCAATACGATTTCCCAAAAATGCAGATAAGCACAGCCTTCTACCACATGTGAAAGTCAGATCCTATGGAGTTAAATGAGGTTTCTTTGCTCTCTGCTGGCCAAGGCTATTATTGCCTCTCGTTCGGCTTAACCTTTAAAAGTATCTAGGCTGTGAAAGCTAAGCCTTCAGGATGATGCTAAGGCAGCATTTTACTGCTGCATTCAAAGCTTGGGCCCCAGCAGCTACTGTCCCACCATACACAATTGTGGCTTCCCCCAAGGAATTCTGGGAGCTATAGCTCATCAAGGTGCTGGGAGTTATTAAGAGATCTCCTAGTCTCCAACCAGAGCTACAATTCCTAGAGTTCCCTGGGAAGAACGATAGTAGACTGCTCTGGAAATTTAGCTCCCTCTGGGGAATAAGGGTTGTCCTAGCTATTCTCAACACCCTTAACTACATCTCCCAGAATTCCTTTGGGGAAGCCATGACTGTTTAAAGGGATATTAAAGGTAAATGGACCCCTGACCATTAGGTCCAGTCATGGCCTATTCTGGGGTTGCGGCGCTCATCTCGCTTTACTGGCCGAGGGAGCCGGCGTACAGCTTCTGGGTCATGTGGCCGGCATGACTAAGCCGCTTCTGGTGAACCAGAGCAGCTCACGGAAACGCCGTTTACCTTCCCGCCAGAGTGATACCTATTTATCTACTTGCACTTTGACGTGCTTTCGAACTGCTTGATCAGCAAGGTTTAACCCACAGCGCCACCCCCAGTGCATTAAATGTATGGTGTGAGAGTAGCCTTAAGATCAGGGGCCCAACAATCTCAGTATTGGCTATGGCAGAGAGAAGCCAACATAGGGCCCTGGCTGGGGATGACAGGAATTGGAGTCCAAAAAGATCTAGAGGGCATCACATTGGCTGGTCCTGGGTGACACTGTCAGCACTGTCCTGGAGATGTCAGGGGTTGAACCTGGACCTTCTGCATGCAAGACAGAAGCTTTACAACTAAGCTGTGGTCCTCTCATTAAATGCAAAGTAAGATTCTTATCATCCTAGTTCTGAATAAAAGGCTGAATTAAACAGGAAGCTGCCTTATACTGAGTCAGACCATCCGAGTCCATCTAAGTATTGTCAGCACTGGCTAATAACAGCTCTGCAGGGTTTCAGGCAGGGGACCTTCCTAGCCCTTCCTGGAGATGCCATTGGGGATTGAACTGGGAGCACAAAACAGGTGCTTACCACAGAGTTGAAGGCTCAAAACCTGAAATCGCAGAATAGCAAACCTCTATTACAAGTGCAGAAAGAAGCAGCAGTAAACAAGTAGGCATTGGTTGGGGGTGGGAGGACCTTTTTACACTGGCTCTTCTTACATTACAGGGTCGTAGAATGCAGGAAAACAAGTTCTAGCAATCAGATCTTAGTAATCTGGTTGTCATTCTGCACCCTTTCCTGCTTGCAATTCTTTGGCAAAATACTATGAATTCTTCTTCTCGTTCTGGGAAGTAATATAATAGTTTTACCCAAAGAAGCCTCTCTTTTGGAGATTTATTAAGGGGAATGTTCCAAGAAAATTGGCAGGATTTGGGCTGTGCTGTTTGCAGAGCACTGCATGTTCCCCCGTCCTTGGTTTCTTCGCCCTTTGTTCGTCTTTTGAGGACAAGAGGCATTGGCGTGACTCACTGTTCTCCCCATTCCCCTGAGAGTAAATGCCATCAGAACTCCTAACAGCAAAAAAATAAGAGGGAAAATACATCCTCAGCTCTTTCGGAATGGTCTCTGGTGTCCTGAGAACTGACAGGTAAGATTCCAACCAGCACTTTTCTGGCTCAGGGTTCCTGGCTTGCCACATTTATTTAAATTTATATATATTTTAAATGTTGTGAACAGCCACCAGCAAGATTATAATACACAACAGCAAAGGAAAGGAATGAAGGAGGCCAGGTCTGGAGAGGGAATCATTGCATATTGGACACAGAAGATCAAACAGAAGAGTGTAAAGGACTATTAGGAAAGAGTACCCTGTCCCCCAAACATGAGGAACTCGGGAGCAGTGACATGCAAATATGCCCATTTCATGCTCTGGCAGTTTCTAATTTTTCCCCATTTTAAGTTCAGTTCTCCACATTCCCACATCAGTTTGTGACTTTAAAAAAAGTCATGAAAATTCATCAGCATTTTAGTGCAAATTTATCCTAATACACCTTCAGAAAGTGATTTCCCCTAATATATTGCATTTTGTTACATCATTTTCACTATTATAAGCATTGATATGTGCACTTTAGCCTAATGTAATGCATTTTTGTGACACATTACTTATGTGGATAACTTTGCTGCAAAATTCAGAGAAGGGTACATTTTAAAGGATGGCCAATTCTAGGGATCATCTACAGGTCCTAGGATTATTTGCAAGAAGCCATGACTGTTTAAAGTATTATAAATGTGCTTTATAAATTCATTATGTGGCCCATTTCTACTTCAAAATAAATCCCATTGAATTCACTGGGGCTGACTTCCCAGGGAAGTGGGGTTGGTATTGAAACCTATGGGTTGCATTTCATAAAGTTCTATTAAGAGCAGACCAATTGAAAATAGTAAATGAGTTATTTCCACTCATTTAAATGTGTTGTAGCCACTGCTAGTCCTACTCAGAGCAGGCCCACTGGAAATAATTGACATGACGAAATTAGATCCATTTCATTTAAAGGGGTTGTACCCTTGAGTTGAACAGAGTTGGGTGCAACCCAGTAGGCCTCCTCTGAGTAGGACTAATATTGGGTGCAACCCTAAGTCTATATTTTATATTATTTTTTGCATTATAGAAGCTGCTGCCTTTGATGAGCTTGCAAATTAGCCAGAATATAAAAGGCAGCATCACTTAAATCTTTTTATAAACATTTGCTTTCCAGCTTAAAAAAAAGAAGAAGTAGCAAAAGGATAATATGCTGATTCCATCTGGACTCTAGAGTCCAAAGAAAAGAATTCAAAGTCTGCCCAAGAGGCCCCTGAAATCATCCTGTACGGCATATATATATATATATATATATATATATATATCCGCCTGTGTCCTCATTGGCAATATCACATGGTCCTGGAAGGGATCACAGATACAAGCTGTGGAACATTAACTGTGGAGCCTCAACAAGATTGCACATTGACCACGCTTCCCTTACCTCCTGGCTGAACTGCTTTGCTTTGCCTTCGATGGCATCCATAACCCAGGAACAGATCCATAAGGTAAGGAGGGAAATGCCAACAAGAAAAGGTGGATAAAAATGTGTGTGCCCTGGTGAGTTGCTTTGAATTAGCAAAGCTTTCCGCTGATTCCCCCACCCCCGCTGGCCACCCTCTGAAATTGGATTTAGCAATGATTAACTCAATGAATTTATCTCTTTTTTTTTGTGCACCCATATGGAAAGAGAAACATCCTGCCATGACTTGAAATATATTGTTCGCCTTTTGCATACCCTTTCTTTTGATCCTTCTCATTCATCCCCTGATCTTTCTCTTTATCCTTTGCCTCTCTTAAACTCTGAAAATCCGCCTCTCTTTATCCATAATCTCCTTGGGCAATGTGTTCTCCAAAGTAAGCAGGCACTTCATTCCAGGGGGATGTTGCTGCAATGGTGTTGCAGGTTAATTTTATTTTCTTTTTCAATGTTGTTTTGAATTTTGTTTTATAATGTTGTTTTTGTTTGTTGTTTAGTCATCTTAGTCGTGTTCGACTCTCCGTGACCCTATGAACCACAGCATGCCTTGGAAACGCTCACTTTCTTCTCAAATCTTCTCCTTTTTTATGTCCATGGAGTTTTCTTGGCAAAATACTGGAGTGGTTTGACAGTTCCTTCTCCATTTTTTTTTATAATGTACAGAACGATTATAACAGATGAAAATCAAAACCGTAAAATAGGCACACAGAATAAATACAGTTACTGAGCAGTTCAGTAACAAAGTCCAGGTCAAGAAGGAAAAAAGAATGGAAGTTGTCTTCACACATGAAGGAAGAATATTTAACTGTTACTTGATTTTCAAGTAGAGTTCCCAATTTCCCAGGCTTGTAACGAAGGTTGCATTGAAAATAAGTGTTCAGCTGTAAAGGAATGCCAAATCATATAAAACGGTTCTAGACCCTGTCAAAATCTCAAATTATGTACAATTTCCTTTACTATACCTGCATTCCTGAGTGGTACCAAGTGTCCAGTGTAAGATTTGGGGCTGTTTTCCATTGCATTGCAATTACTATTTGAGCTGCAAATACCATATACAAGACAAATCCTTACGAAAATAAATCTACATTGGTATCCTCAACAATTCAATTACATTCATTTTGGACAGCAAACAATAGTTCCTCTGGCAGTACTGATCATTTCTGTCAAAAGTAAACAATTAAAGAATTATAAGAATCTTGAACCAGCGTACATTCCCACCATAAATGTGTAGTGTTATGTACTGAAGTTCTCAACCTGGGCCAGCAGGGGGATACTGTAGATAGTTATGCAAATGAAGGATTGAAAAGTGACGTTCAGTGATTGGATAGTTTTGTATGCAAATGAAGGATCGAAAAGTGACGTTCAGTGATTGGATAGATTTAGAAAATGGCAACAGTTACATTGTTCTGGAGCTCTATATAAGCAGGCTGACTGAGCCCCTCAGCTTAGTTCTGTTCTGGCATCTGAATAAAGAAGAGCTGTTTGAAGAATCGCTGTGTCATCTGATATGTTTGCCCACAACTTAACATGTTGTGGTTTGATTTGATAGATAAGAAACAATGGCAAATTTGAGTCAATAAAGCAGAAATCTCTCTTGATTTCTTGCTACTTCAGTGGGAATGTTTATCAGGCCATTACGTAGTCAGAGCCTAACATTATTATGAGAAGGACCACCTCTAAGTATGCTAGGAACTCAATTCTTCGGTTGAAAGAACCCTATACAGTGCCACTGAAACCACAGATTTTGGGGTTTTATGGTTTTATTTATTTTATTTTATTTCAGTTTCAGGGGCCCCAGATCCCTCCCAGGGCTTAGAGCAGGGGTCGGCAACCTAAGGCCTATGGGCCACAAGCAGCCCATGGGGGTCATTTACCTGGCCCATGGACCCCCACTGCCCGCTTGGGGACCCCACCACCAGCTCAGTTGGCTGGCTCCCATGCGCCATGCTAAACCAGCACGGAGCAGAGTGGGGACGGCCTTCCGCGACGCTAGTCAGCTTCTCATTGGCTGCAGGAAGCTCCTACAGCCAATGGGAAGCTGCACATGTCTCCTCTGCGCCAGAAGGAGCGCTGGAAATAGTGTTTGCACATGCGCACGCTCGCACACACTCCAGCCCACCGCGGCATCTGCGGGACCGAGAACCAGCCCAAGCAACAAAAACTTTGCTGACCCCTGGCTTAGAGCAAGGGAGAGCAGCAGATGTTTTTGTGCAACAAATGAGTCATTGGAAAGAGTTAAGACTTATTACTCAAAGACCTAGGGCCATCACCAGCTGTTTCAGATGGATTCATTGAAAAAGACTCCAACATAACTCTATAGAGCACTATGATTTGTAATACTGTCCAGCAGGGAATAGGGCAGAAATTTGATTTGGTTCACTCTTAAAGGAAAACTTACCCTAATTTGCACTTTCAGAAACTATCTGTGAACTGAAATGCAGTCATCTTTTGAAATTTGTACTTCTCTGAATGTTGCAATGCTGCTTTTCAGACAAGTCATGTGTAAAAATAATAATGCACATACTAGGGTATAGCATGCAGAAAAATAAACATCCAAGCAAAAATAAAATAACCCACCCCAAAATGCATTCTGTTAGGGGAAATGGCCTTCTTCGCCAAAACGTGTATAAATTGCATACAAAAATGTGCATGTTGGGGAGAGAGTCACACTGGAACGCTGATGAATTTATGGGAGGACTTTTTGAAAAAGTAAATAAATCACAAACTTATATGGAAATGTGGAGAAAAGGGGTGGGGGAGAGAAACTGAGCAAAAGTGAAAATGCCAGATTTGCCTGTCTCTTGATTCTAGTCGTTGTGGTGATGGTGATGATAACAAAATGTCCTCCCTCCTACCCCCCAGTTCCGCCAAGATGGCTTCCTTGTTCTTGACCAGTTTTTCAGCTCTGAAGTGTGTGAGGCCATGAGGGCCCAGATCCAAAAGATCATTGCTGACATGGACGTGCCTCCTCACTGCCGTACAGAGTTTTCAACCCGGGAAGATGAACAGCTCCAGGCACAGGTGCAGAAACCAGATTCAGTCACATCTCCCACCACAGAAACCACTGCAGCGTGGTTAAGAGTGCAGGCTAGTACCAGAGAGACCCCAGGGTTCAAATCCCCACTTCCCTGTAGCTAGATTTAGTTTCATTTATTTGTTTCTAATCCTTAGGCAGTGTGAACTGTATCTGTATGACAACCAGCTTAAAAAAAGAAGAAAAGAATAAGATTTTTTATTTGTTTTATTGCTTGCTGTTTGCATCCCTGGGCTCCTTTGAGAAGAAGGATGGGATATATATTTAATAAAGGAATAAGTAACATGAAGTAACATGGCACCTCTATTTTGCTATTTGCATTTTTTAGGACAATATATTGTTGATGACAGTAATAATAATGATTTGCTTCCAACAACTTACACTTTTTTCCGTCTTTCCTTTTTCATTATGCCAACCTCTTTTTGGGGACAGATGCAGGTAAACCCCTTTTTGCCATGCAGACAGGATAATGGTCCGTTGCTGCAGAGTAACTCAGAAGAGCAGCCTACCCCTCAGCCCCAGCTTTTTGAACTATTAAGAGCCAGGGTGGCAGAGCAGTTGCTCTGTTGGATAGGAACCAGGGGAGAGTTCGAATCCTTTCTCAGCCACACAGCTTGCTAGACAACTGTGGGCCTGTTGCAATCTCTCAACCTACCTTACAAGGGTTGCTGTGAAAGTTACCTTATTTTTCGCTCTATAGGATGCACCCGACCATAGGACGCACCTTGATTTAGAGGGGGAGAACAAGAAAAAAATTATCCCCCTCTCTGTGCAGTGCCCCTTTTAGTGAAGCAGCAGGGAGAAACGGAACCCCTTCCATTTCTCCTCCCGCTTAGCTGGAAGGGGCACCTACCCTTCAGCGAAAGGAACCCGAAGCCTCTGGAGCACAGCTCCAGAGGCTTCAGGCGCTATCTTTGAAGCCTGAAGAGCGAGAGGGGTTGGTGCGCACCGACCCCTCTCGCTCTCCAGGCTTCAGTGAAGGCAACCCGAAGCCTCTGGAGCGTGGCAGGAGCGTTCCCACTGCGCTTCGAAGGCTTCGTGTTGCTGTTGCTGAAGCCAAAGAGCCTGCATTCGCTCCATAAGACGCATACACATTTCCCCTTAATTTTTGGAGGGGAAAGTGTGTGTCTTATAGAGCGAAAAATACGGTAAATGGTTTGAGACAGTGTCATTGTGTGCTCCCCTGATCTCTTAGGAGGAATATGGGATAAAAATATTATATTATTGAAGTAAAAACAATGCACTCACTTCTGTGCATGGATGTACACTTGTGCAACAACCCCCACCTCTTCTCCCCTCAGCAGCTTCCCCAGTCAGTTCTGTAGGGTTGAAGGAACCCCATAACATATTTAGGGGGTGCATGAGGTGGGGAGAGGTGTGGAAGTTCCATTGCACAACCAGATATATATTATAGAAGAATGCCTTTATCTAACTGAATAAAATTCCAGTGCCAATTCCAGTGTGTTGTAACTGACATGAGTTATCCAAATAACAGGATATTATAGGCACATTCAATTTCTCATTAATTTGGAAGCTACAGTTTAGCATGAGGGACGCGGGTGGCACTGTGGGTTAAACCACAGAGCCTAGGACTTGCAGATCAGAAGGTTGGCAGTTCGAATCCCCGCGACGGGGTGAGCTCCCGTTGCTCGGTCCCAGCTCCTGCCCACCTAGCAGTTCGAAAGCACAAAGTGCAAGTAGATAAATAGGTACCACTCTGGCGGGAAGGTAAACGGTGTTCCATGCGCTGCTCTGGTTTGCCAGAAGCGGCTTAGTCATGCTGGCCGCATGACCCAGAAGCTGAACACCGGCTCCCTCGACCAATAAAGCAAGATGAGAGCCGCAACTCCAGAGTCGGTCACAACTGGACCTAATGGTCAGGGGTCCCTTTACCTTTACCTTTACAGTTTAGTACACAGGGCTTACTTCTGAGTGAACACATATAGGATTAAACCATGACATGTTAAGTTTGTACAGTCTCAAAGAAAGAGGAAGGGCCATAGCTCAGCAGCAGAACACCTGCCTTGCATGTAGAAGGTCCCAGGTTCAATCCCCAATGGCATCTCCAGGTAGGACTGGGAGAGACTCCTGCCGGTCTTTGTAGAGCATACTGAGCTAGATGGATGAATGGGTTGACTTTGTTTAATGGCAGTTTCCTAAGTCTTAAAGAATGGGTTATAGCTCTGTAGTTAAAGGGGCCACATGACTTCATCACAAACAACATTTTTATTAGCGTATCATCATTTCCATATTGAACTTCTTACCAATTTTATTATTTGTATTTGATTTAAGAAAGAAGCACCCTACAAACTGCACAAAATATTTAAATAAACAGCCTCAGTATTCATTGTGAGATGATAATATTTTTATTTTGGCCTCCAACAGGGCAGCGCGGAATATTTCCTAACCAGCGGAGACAAAATCAGATTCTTTTTTGAAAAAGGTGTTTTTGACGGAAAAGGTAAGCATTTTCTAATTTTTTTTAAAAGAAATCTAGACTTTAAAAAAAATAAAGTTAAAATAATAATTCAGAAGAAAAAAGTACAAACCCCTCAATATACTCCACATTTAATTAGATGTTATAACATAAAGCAGCTTGATACAGGAAGAGGAGAAAGCAAATGTTATGATGAATACCAAATAAAGCCACATTTCATTGGGACGTGCCACCCCCATGATTGGCCTATCATATAAGTAGCAAATGACTCCAAAATGAAGGTGAAATCACAGGTACCTTTAATATATGACAGTTTCTCAGAAATGAGAATAAACATTACTCTGTGGAAACAAATGTTTAATGAAAAACCAGAGGACTCCTTTCAGTCCTGTGATACGGCCAAACTATTTTGGGAGTGGGGATGGGGTCAGCTTTTGCTCCCCCCCCCCATAAAATTTTATGAAGGTTTTTTCATAATACAGTACAATAAAAAACAAACTAATCTAAACAAAAACAGAAACTGAAAAAAGAAAGGAAAATGTAGAGTCCTTTCTCAAAGGCATAGCTGTCAACGTTTTCCTTTTTTTAAGGGATATTCCCTTACAGTGGTACCTCTGGTTGCATACGCTTCAGGTTACAGACTCCGCTAACCCAGAAATATTATCTCAGGTTAAGAAGTTTGCTTCAGGATGAGAACAGAAATCGTGCTCCGGCGGCGCAGCAGCAGTAGGAGGCTCCATTAGCTAAAGTAGTGCTTCAGGTTAAGAACAGTTTCAGGTTAAGTACAGACCACCGGAACGAATTAAGTACTTAACCTGAGCTATCACTGTATTCCAAATAGGATTCCACGCAAGAAAAGGGGAAAGTTGACAGGTAGCTCGAAGGTAGCTCTGACCCCTTGTCACCCACAGAAAGGGGTGGACCCTTCAATCTCTCACCTGAGAGCTCCCCTTTCTTCTCCCAGCCTCTCACCTTGGGAGATCCTCCCTTGCCTGCCTCACACACAGGGTCCTTCAGCCAGTCATCACCTTCATGAGTGTATAATCCCAGAGGAGAGGACACCAAACAAAAAATAAAGACAGAATAAAGAAGATAAAAGGAAGTGAGAAATAGAAGGGGGGGGGAGAAAAAAGAAATTAAAAGGGCACCTGATTTTCTATCTGTCAGTTACATACATTTCTTCCTTAGAGGGTCGTGCAAACCGTTATAATTAATAATGCTTTTTGTAGGATGGGGGGGAGTGGGGATGAGTTGATGGAACCAAAGGTGGCAGTTGCTGAAAAACTTTGGGAACTTTTCCTAAACTGATCTAAACTGATATAACCAGTGTTTTTTTCTGGGGGTACGCAGGGGTATGGTTACTCCTAAACATTTTGTGAATTTAAGTTTGGCCTCATTAAGGGGCAGAATTTCAATATGAGTAGTAAAATGTGAGTACCCCATAACATTTATTTATTTATTAGAAAAAAAGCACTGGATATAACACATGTGCTATGTGATTTATGTTGAATTCAACATTTTTCTTTCCTAGGAGATTTTCTTGTTCCAAAGGAAAAAGCTGTTAATAAAATTGGCCATGGTAAGTATTAAAGACAGCAGTGTATGAAAATGATACACACTTGGCAGTCCATTTCTCCATAAAGCATGCTGCAAAAAGCATTTTGCAAAAGCCAAGCCACGGACCCCTACTTTTGAAAATTTTGATAACTCTATGGTAGTTACCTGTGCAAATAATTTTTTTAAAGAAAATGTGGGGTAGCCCCTAATAAGAAAAGGATTTTAGGTGTACTAAAAAACAGACCATAAAATTTGTGATATTACCACAACTTGTCTATCCACAGAAAGCAGGAACAACTTGTCGCCATTGTTTCATTACAACTGAATTTTTTTAAAAGCAATTGTGTCCCTAACTTGCAAGTGCTCTATATGCAGAAAGCTTTTTATATGAGTATTCACACATGCTATTCCTTAGGGTTCTGCTAAGTAAGGGATCTTGCACCTTCAAGACATAGGTGAAGGCTTGGTCAGGGCTTGATAACACATTGGTGAAGACTGAGTAGAAAACAACTGGGATTTTGTAATGTTGGTAATACTTCTACTACTACTAGTAGTAGTAATAGTAATAGTGCATGCAGGTATCTGAAGACTGCAGGTATCTGAAGAAGTGTGCATGCACACAAAAGCTTATACCCAGAGCAAACTTAGTTGTTCTCTAAGGTGCTACTGGACAATTTTTTAATTTTTTAAAAATAATTTATTTAGTCTTCCTGTGCCCAAGTTTAATCCTTGGCTTAAAGAGCTTAATTAAATACAGTACTTTTTTGGAGTGAGGTTTTTATTTTTGCTGATTACCCAATAGGAACAACCAACTTTTTAATTTATTAAGATTCAGCTGTACATCCATCCATCCCCCCCCCCATTGTAGCCACATAGCTTCCCAGAGAAAACAAGAAAACAACATCCATGCAGGCTGCCTTTTGCACTACATAGGCCTGGGTGATGTACTGATACATCTCCCAGCACTCGGTGGTACAATACCGGTATATTGCAAGTGAAATCACCACTGCTCTTGGCTGCCTCCAGCTGGCGCTGATAGCAGCTTAGTGAAGCCACCATCCCACTCTGCTCTCATACTGGCAGAGGGAAAAACAAGGTACATCGGTGAGGCGCTGATAGAACTTGTTTCTCCCTCTGCTTCTTTAAACTGCTCAGTTGAGGAGTGCACGGTTGTTCTTGCCTCAGCCAAGCAATTTTACGGAACCCCTGACCTGCCACCTGCTCACATGAGCCAGTGGTGGGGTGGTTTTCCATGAAAATGCTCCACTAAGGGGTGCACGATTGTCCCTCTCCTCAGCTGAGCAGAGCCCCCAGCCCACCACTTGCTCCTTCATCGGGGGGGGGGGGGCAGGAGACCTCTTCCATCCTCCAGCTGAACAGTTCAGCGCAGGTGAGCCTGAAAGGGATCAGGACTCGTTCACTGTGGAGGGTTGGGCCATGTATATTGGCTGCTTCTTCCTTCCCTAAGGTAGGAATGACCGTGCAGGCTAATCGTTTCCCTTCGAGGTCGAAGGTTGCTGTCTTTCAGAGCTGGGAAGGAATTCCCCTATTGAAATATACTCGGAGTCGAAAGTGGATTTCATGCTCTTTATTCAGCTCATAGTGGTGAGGAGGAATGGAAGTTCCCCTAGAATGTCTGCCATATATACATTATTTACACAATGGTCCCCACGTGATTGGCTAATTCCAGGATTCTCCTGTAGGCCAATCAGGCTGCGGATTCTCTTCCACCTGGAGCTGGTTTGGGTGGCTCCTGTGGACCAATCAGACTGCTGCATTCTAAACCCTATTGTTCTAGGACCAACCAGGCTGCTGCATTCTGAATCCTATTGTTCTAGGACCAATCAGACTGCTGCCTTATGGATCCTATTCAACTCAGTACATAACACCTGCTCTGCAGGTTTTGCCTTCCCCTTAAGAATTGTCAAAACTTTGGTGGTTTTAGGTCTTCGGCAGAATCCTTTAGTCCATCAATGGAATGGAGGGGTAGTGTGGTAACGCACCCCTCCTGCGGCAGTGTTGCAGGGCCCTGTTAGAGGGGGTTTGAGAGGGGAGTCACTGACCATAAGCACTCGTTGGAGGGTCAAACTCCCCTCAGCAACTTGAAAAGGGGAGGGCAGCTGTGTAAACGCACGTTTTGCAGTGTCCCTCATATTCCTGACTGACCCTGCCTAGCCACAGATCCTAGCTAGGGGGCTGAGAGGGATACATGCCCAATGCCTAAGCCAAGGTTTTACTACATCTGAAATTAATAAAGTTGTAGCCAATTTAATCCCATATCTACACTGTCTTGTGTCTTTATTGATTTGGGGCCTGGCTCCTGGGGAGCTGGGTCTGCTCCTGGGCACTCAAGAAGCAGCCGAGATAAATTCCAGTCACCATGATGTATCAGCATATACCGGTATTTAGCTGCTGATATATCACAATGTGACTGGGATGCAGGTAGCGCTGTGCGTTAAACCACAGAGCCTAGGGCTTGCCCATCAGAAGGTTGGCGGTTCGAATCCACGCGACGGGGTGAGCTCCCGTTGCTCTGTCCCAGCTCCTGCCAACCTAGCAGTTCAAAAGCACGTCAGAGTGCAAGTAGATAAATAGGTACTGCTCCGGTGGGAAGGCGTTTCCGTGCACTGCTCTGGTTCACCAGAAGCGGCTTAGTCATGCTGGCCACATGACCCGGAAGCTGTACACCAGCTCCCTCAGCCAGTAAAGCGAGATGAGCGCCGCAACCCCAGAGTCGTCCGCAACTGGACCTAATGGTCGGGGGTCTCTTTACTTTTACCTTTATATCACAATGTTGAAAAGAAAGTATTGCCCAGAAAAGAAAGTATTGCACAGATTAAGTGAGCCCCTGGCAGGAGATGGAGCCGCAGACTCCCGGGGTGTGTTCTGCGGACCGCCCTAATTGGGAGCCACTGGTGTGGACAATACTGAGCTAAATGAATCCAAATGGCCTCCTTCACTATAAGACAGCTTCCTGTGTTCTGCAAATGTGTGCCTCATTTCAAACTGAATCATCTGGATGTCAGGCCCCAAAACTCATCAGCACACTTACCTGGTAACGCATTCCATTGAATTGAGTGTGATTTACCTCTAAGTCAAGATGCATAGGATTGCGCTTTCATTGATGGACCCCCTTCATTGCTGTTTTAAAAAGGGTGTAGGGATGTCTCTTTCCCTTGACCAGGAAGGTGATTGGATGAGATACAGTAAGCTGCAACAGCAAAAAAGCAGGGACATTTTCTACTTGCTTCATCTCTTTCCCCACTCTTTTGCAGCGTTGCATGCATACGATTCCACCTTCAAGCAGATCACTCACTCCTCAGATGTGCAGGTGAGTTTGAGTGCCAACCGAAAGCCTCAAGTCTATTTAGACCACATTTCCACCATGCATTCAAAGCCCCCCTTATACCCCTTTTAACAGTCATGGCTTCCTCCAGCAAATCCTGGTAGCTGTGTTCAGGGTTCTGAGTTTCATTAGATGATCTCCCATTCCTTTCCCAAAGCTATAGTTCCTTGAGAAGAGTGGTGGATAGTCCAGGCACTCTGGGAACTGCAGCTGTGTGTGTAGAACAAGGGAGTTTTCTAGCAACTCTCAGCACGCTGAACAAACTGCATCAAAAACCATGGCAACAGCAGTTACAAGGGTGCCGAGAGTTGTTAGGAGACCCCTATTTTTTACAGAGAGCTGCAATTCTCAGAGCAGTTTAACAATCCATCCCTCTTCCCAGGGAACTCTGGGATTTCTTGCTGGGGGTGGGGGAGATAGGGGGTCTCCTAACAACTCTCAGCACCCTTAACTAACTACAGCTCCCAGGATTCTTTACAGTAAGTCATGACTGTTTAAAGGGGCACTGTACAGTGTGTATGTGACTTTGGAAAGAACAATATGGGGAATTATTGGTTCATACTCTTTCTGCTCCCAGGTTCACAATAGCCTTATTTTGAAAGGAACTGAGCTACTGGTATGACAAAATGTGGCATGTAGCTTTGCTGGATAAACTTTCCCACCAATGACAGGTGATGAGAGGACAATGGGAAAGTGACCAGTTTTCGGCCATCTGGTTTCCATTGGTTGAATATGCTAATACACTGGAAAATGACTAAAGGTCCCAATGATGTACAAATAGGTGTAACTGCTCCAAACCTTCAGTGGAAAACTATATCCTCTTTACATCTGACTGTAAGGAATCTCCTACTCTGAAATTGTAACAGAAGGGGAAGAAAGCATTTAAATAATTACTGCCTCTGACAGCTTCCTTTACATGACTTGCATTGTTATAGTCCAGTGGTTCCCAAAGTGGGCAGTGGATCCACCTGGGGGAGTGCAAAGAGACAAGGGAGTGGCAGGGGGGCGCTGGAGGTGTAAACAGCTTCAAAGAGCTGGCACCACTGCATCAAGTCCTTCAAATTTGTTGAATTAATGAAACTAAATAGCTTTAATTGGGTTTCAAATAAATGTGCAATTAATTGTTACTGTTTTGAATTTTATTGTGCTATTATCTTCCTTAGTGGGTTCCGCAGACTGCTAATCTGAAACATGCTTTTGGGGGCATAGTGTAGGGAACACCAGGGATGAGTTTATGGAACCAAGGGGGCAGTGGCCCCCCAAAATTTGGGAACCACTGGTCTAGTCCACACTGCACCTGGAATCACACTGTTGAAAGTCTGGGCCTGGACACACTGGCGGAGGAAGAGGAGTGCGCGGGGAGTGCACCACCCCCAGCAGCACGATCCTGGTGGGGTGCCATTGTGGCTGCCCCCAGGCTGCGTGTCCTGTCCCTGGGATTTGTGCCAGCCCCGCCCCCACCTGCTCTCCGCCCCCCAGTGCTAGAGCATGAAGCTTCGCCACTGTCTGGACCCTGCACTCATACATCTGATGCCCTTCTTTGGGTGCCTCCTCCATGAGGTCTGGAGAGTGGCAACACGAGAACAGGCATTTTCTGTGGTGGCTCCGTGTTTGTGGAATGCTTCCCAAAGGGAGACGCACCTGGCGTCATCATTACATATCTTTAGGTGCTAGGCAAAAATATTTTTTTCCAACCAGGTGTTCAGCTGATTAACATCCTATGGCTTTTTAAGCGTAGTCTTGTTTTTTTGAGAGGGTATTGGTTTTTCTTTTTGTGTTCTCATTTTGTATTTTTCTGTTGTGAACCGCCTTGGGATCTGTGGATGAAGTACAGTATACAAATTTTAATAGTAATAATAAGGTATGGGTCCTGTTTCTTTCCATCAGGCACGGAGGGTTGTTTTTGGTAAGGACATGTTCACTTACCTGTCTTACTATCTTTTTTTCTGTATACATTATTTCCCTTTTGCAATATGCAAAACTTCATAAATAACTATATGAGAAGGAATGAAGTTCTCAAGCTCCAAAGGGAGAGATGTGCCTTTGTTTGTTTGATTGATTATATTTCTGGCCCATAAATATAATATGAAGAGTTGAAGAATATTTACACGTTATAGCCATTAAAACCAAATCACATTTTAAAAACTTTCTGATTGTTAATACTCTCATTTCAAAAGCCACAGTTTGTGTGGATGTATAATGGAGTTGGAGCCAATGAAGTTGGAGCCATTACAATGGACCTCAGTTAGTCATGCCCATTGATTTCAATGGGTATACACTGAGAGCCCCTATGTTTTGTTACCTGCTCCTTTGCAGTTAGCTAGCTTAACAAGCCTGCTTCATAAACTATGGTTTGAATGTGGCATATTTTGAAACTGACCATAGTTTGTAAAAAAGCCACAACTGCAAGCAGAGTTTAACAGAAACTGAAAGTAAGTTCCCAAAAATCTTCTGGCTATGTGGAACTAAGTGGTGTGTAGGCACAAACCTGAGGCTAGTTATAGCTTGCACATGTCATGACAAACCATATTTCACCTACTACTATTTGAACTACTATTTTTATCTAATCTCGGGCAAATTTTGGGATATTTTTCAGGTACTGGCAAGAAAACTGGGCTTTGAAAACCCAGTGGTGGTGCAAAGCATGTACATATTCAAGGTATGGTAACCTTTAACTCTGCTTATTAACTGAATGAATGAATTAAATGCATTAATAGGACAATCTTTTTGATGTTTCCTCCTCAATAAAATGGTGTTCCCCCCCTTGTTTTCTAGCAACCTGGCATCGGCGGTGAAGGTGAGGTTCATACTCTGCCTATTTCTACAATGAAAGTAGTTCTGAATAAAGGGCTGGATTAAACAGGAACAGAAGAAAGTCAGACTATTGGTCCATCTAGCTCAGTATTGTCTGCACTGACTGGAGGTAGCTCTCCAAGGTTTCTGGAAGGGAACAGTACCAGCCCTACATGGAGTTTCCATCAGGGATTGAACCTGTGACCTTCTTCCCTGGCCCTTCCCTCCAAATTAAAGTCCCAGACCTCATGATTCTAAATAAAGGAAATAAGCTGTTTTATACTGAGTTAGACCATTGAGCTATCTGGCTCAGTACGGTCTACACTGGCTGGCACCACCACCACAAGGATTTCAGACTGGGGTCGTTCTCAGTCCTATGTGGAGATGCTGGGGACTGAACACTCCTTCCTGTGTTGCACCACTCTCTGGTCAAGCTGAGTGCCCTCCTTGAATGCTTTTGGAGGGCACACACGGACTTTGATCATGTATTTTACTTTTGTATGTTTATGTACAAACTAGGTTACTGTGCAAAGCTAAAATTTACTCCACCGACTTCTGCATCTGTCCCTGACCACTCCTTGCATATGGCGCCCAAAAGGTTTGTCCAGAAGAGAACGTAGTGCTCTCTTCTCTTGGGAGTAGATGGACTTTTGATCTGATGTAGCAAGGCTCTTCTTATATATAGGCTTTTGGTTGTTTGGCCAAAGATTGATTCTGGTGAGGGGCACGTACACAGCTCCTGATAATCTGGTTTCAGTGTAAATCAGTGTTTCCCAAACTTGTCTCTCCAGCTGTTTTTGGACTACAACTCCCATCATCTGTAGCTAGCAAGGCCAGTGGTCAGGGATGATGGGAACTGTAGCCCAAAAACAGCTGGAGACACAAGTTTGTGAAATCCTGATCTATATTAAGAAAGAGAGCCAGTGTAGTGTAGTGGCTAGAGTGTCAGACGAGGGCCTGGGAGAGACCAGCGTTCAATTCCCCCACTCAGCCATGTAGCTCACTGGGTGTGACCTTGGGCCAGTCACGGCCTCACTGGCAACCTACCTCGCAGGGTTGTTGGGGGGGATGAAGTGAGGAGGAGAACTGTGTACTTCACCTTGGAGAAAAAGGTGGGTTATAAATGCAGTAAATAAATGAAGAAATAAATAAAATGCAAGCACATCTCTTGTTACCTGCTGTCACTAACAAGCCAAGGATATAATAGACCAGTGGCATGGTTAATAGCGAGTGCTGAACTCTTGCACTGCTTTGAGGCTGCAATTCAAGTCAGCAGCGTCCCTCTGCAGTATTACTGTCAATGATAATGTTACAGTCAAGGGAAGGGCAAGTCCATGGAAGAGGAAGGACGGGAAGTTGTTTACTTTGCAGGAAAGCCCATTTTGCCTTTTCTACCAAGACATCTATGCAAGATGTCCATGGATTCTGAAAAGGTTTAAAGTGAACATTGCATGCAGAAGTTTCCCTGGTTCAGGCTGGGAAAAGCCCCCTGCCTGCAATCTGGAGGGCCATTGCTGCCAGTAAGTTTGAATAATACTGAGATAAAGGTAAAGGTACCCCTGCCCATACGGGCCAGTCGTGACCGACTCTGGGGTTGCGTGCTCATCTCGCTTAAGAGGCCGGGAGCCAGCGCTGTCCGGAGACACTTCCGGGTCACGTGGCCAGTGTGACGAAGCTGCTCTGGTGAGCCAGCACCAGCGCAGCACACGGAAACGCCGTTTACCTTCCCGCTAGAAAGCGGTACCTATTTATCTACTTGCACTTAGGGGTGCTTTCGAACTGCTAGGTGGGCAGGAGCTGGGACCGAACGACAGGAGCACACCCCACCGTGGGGATTCGAACTGCCGACCATACGATCGGCAAGTCCTAGGCACTGAGGTTTTACCCACAGCGCCACCCGCGTCCCTTAATACTGAGATAGATGGACCAATTATATGACTTATAGAATTACAGAATCATGGAACAGTAGAGTTGGGAGGACCCTCAGGGTCATGTAGCCCAGCTCTCTGCAATGCAGTAATCTCAACTACAGCATTCCTTACAGATGACCATACAACCACTGCTTGAAAACCTCCAGTGAAGGAGAGTCTACTACCTCCTGAGGGAGTTTGTTCCATTGTCAAACATCTCTTAGTACCAGAAAGTTCTTCCTGGTGTTTAGCCAGAATCTCCTTTCTTGACTAAATGAGGGTTGGAGAAAACTTTTGTTTAGTGTGACATTCGAGCCAGCTGTTTGCATCTGTGCGATCTGTTGCTTCCAGTGACGCCACATCAGGATGCCACCTTTCTACATACGGAACCTTTGGGGCGAGTGATCGGCCTCTGGATCGCCCTGGAAAACGCCACCCTAGAGAATGGCTGTTTGTGGTTCATCCCTGGCTCTCACACAAGTAAGAAAATACTAGCATGGCATTTGATTTGATAGGAAAGCAACTGCAGACCCACAACATCTGGTTGGCGCCACATTGGCTGCCCTTGCTACAGCTTCATTTGGCACAACAGTGGTACATTTGTCCCGTGCCCCCAGCTTTGTTATTGTCCTTCAGTGGCTCTTCTGCCTATCCTGTCCTGAGAAGCTTCCTCCTCTTGCAGGCTGGTTGCTTGGCCCCTCCCTCCTCATCAGCAAAAGAGCACTGCTAATTAGAGAGTACAGGCATGAGTGGGGCGAGTGGGATGCTTGAAAACCCACCAAAGGGGAGAGCTGGGCATTGGATGTTTCAATGCCCTGCCTTTTGATTGGCAGGCCAGCACAGGGACACAAAGTGGAAGTATGGCTTCGAGGCGGCAACCTTTTGAGGGATGTGGCAGAGCTGACCTGCCAGGTTGGAGAGAGGCTGTGATGCAGCCCAGGACCAACAGAGACAGGGTGAACAGCCAACCAGCCAGTGGGTGGGGAGGACTTAGTGGGACCTCTATCTGCAGCTCTGCGGGACAGGTTGACTGCCCCTGGACATGGAGGCTGTGCTGTTGGCTGCCCTGTTTGACATTTGCTACGGATTGCAAATTGGGCTAGAATTATGATGATGATGGTTCTACTTTGCTTTTTTATATTGACAGGGACTCAATCTCCCCACAATCTAAAAATTGTGTATTTAATTATATATACAGTCATACCTTGGGATGAATACGCTTCAGGTTAAGCATTTTTGGGTTGCGCTCTGTGGCGACCCGGAAGTAATGGAACGCGTTACTTCTGGGTTTGCCGCTCACACAGACGCTCAAAATGACGTCACACGCATGCGCGGAAGCAGCAGTCGCGCGTTACGTTCACTTCAGGATGCGAACGGGGCTCCGGAACGGATCCCGTTCGTATCCAGAGGTACCACTGTATATTAAATTTATTAACTGTATTAAATAATATTAACTATATTATAAACACTTTAATTTACAAAATGGAAATTTAAATCAGTGTGTGGCCGGCAGGTTGTGTGTCCAACTACTATTGCAGCCCATTTGGTCTGAGAGGCTGGACCACCTTGGCCTAGAGTATTGCTTTACTTGGAGAGATCTTGCCAGGGCATCTGTGTACAAGACACAAGTCTGTCAACATGTCCTCCTTGGCACTTTCTGTGGCATCCTTCACGTTTCCAACGTGCTGTTTTATAGGTGGGATCACTCGGCGTATGGTTCGTACTCCCCCAGGCACAATCCCCTGCACAAAGTTTGTTGGTTCTGAGCAGACGTACGATGACAGGCAATTCATCCCAGTGCCTGTTGAGAAAGGTAAACTTGACAACAAGGGTAAACATTAAGAGGAATATAGATATTAACTGCTGGGCATCATGCCACGATCACAATGTAGAGAAGACAGGGGGGTGTTCAGGTAAGCATCTCACTCTCCTTTCTTTGCTACACAACAAAGGTTACCTCAGGTTTTGATTCAGATCCAATAGACAATACTAGGCTAGGGGGAATGGTAATGGGATTGGTGATTTGACTTTGCAAATTCATGCACTCGCTTGGTATGACGGTGTGTTGCTTTTAAATCACAAAATAGGTGGCCTCATTCTGATCCATGGTGAGGTTGTCCACAAAAGTGAGCCGAACCTCTCCGAAAAGTCCCGCCACGTCTACACTTTCCATATCATGGAGGCCAAGGACACGGCTTGGAGCCCAGAGAACTGGTAGGAAGGAGGCTGTAGATCAGAGAACACTTTGCAATATAAAAGGGACCTTGGGGGTGATCAGTTGCTAAGCACTATGCACTTGCCCCCACCACAATAGCTTTCAAATCTTAGGAGAAGGGCTGCAGCTCAGTGGCAGAGCATCTGCTTTGCATGCAGAAGTTTCAGAGGTTCAATCCTCAGTAGCATCTCCAGGTAAGGTGGGGGGGGGGGGAGACCTCCCAGCCTGAAACCTTGGAAAGCTGTTGAGAGGCAGTACAGACCATCCTGAGCCAGATGGACCAAGGGTCTGACTCAGTATAAAGCAGCTTCCTATATTCCTATGTAAGCAGGCCCTTTTCCTAGTAGGTTGCCCAGAAGGGAATGTGCTCATTGGGTCGAAAAAGGTTCCCTACCCCCACCTTCCTTTGGGAGATTTAATTTCCATGCATGTTGTGCTCTAGTTAATCTGTTAGTATTCTATGTTCCAACATACCATACCTTTTTTTGTCTTCTAGGCTTCAGCCAACCCCTGAGTTGCCTTTCCCCTCTTTGTACACACAAAACTAACAACTGGAGTGCAAGGTGACGACTGACCAGCCCATGCCTTGGAGTTCACTGCTAGCTACTTTACCTTTTTAAAAATCTAGCTTTGTGATTTCTTGTTTCCAGTCTCGTCTCATCTTTAACGTGGAAGATACCTCTTTTGGGCAGGATGGGAGAATCAGAGTCAGTGCGGTCCTTAGTGCTAGACTGGGGAAGACCCAGGTTCTAATCTCCACTTGGGCCAATCACATACACTCTCAGCTTAGCCTACCTCACAGGGATGTTGTGAAGATAAAAGGATGGGTATGTGTGGCAGGGAGGAGAGAACCACATACTGTGGAGTTGTATCCAATGGTAGTCCAACTAGCCTAGATCTACTGGGTTGTATCCAATGAAGTTCTACTCAGAGTAGGCCCATGGAATTTAATCGACCTAAGCTAGTCATTTTCATTCATTTAAAAGGCCAGGACAATAGAAGGCATTGAAATGGATGAAAGTGACGAACAGAGGTATTCATTTCATTGGCTCTCCTCTGAGTAGAACTTTGTCAGAGACAACTCTCTGCCTCTTATTCCTTGGAGGAAGCCTGGGATACAAATGTAATAAGTAAGATTTGTATAAATGATGGAATATAATATAATTACACTAAATAGACTGGCAGCACCAAATTTTGAAAGCACAATTAAAAATGACAAGCTGACAAAGATACTTTTGCATGTCCATTTTTAAATATTCATTTGATCCAAGAGCAATTATCTGAACACTGTTATCCCTCTTTTGGAACTTTACAGCCTGATACTGCGAATTCACTACAGTGATTCAAGCCATTGCCCTACCTATAGCCTCCATCCCCGCACCGGTCATGCCAAGATTCCCAGCCAAGGTCCCCTAAGTCATCAGTAGTATTTGGAGGTAGAGAGGCAGAAGTAAATTGTCCACTTGGGTAGTGTAGGCTTCCAAAAGGGAAACCAAGCTAATAGATGCCAGAATCCAGGAGTAGCTGGCATTTAGATCCACACCACTGTCAAAGATCAGAATGATGGCAACAGCAATGATCTGGGCAAATATGCCCATCATGGTGCCTTCAAAGGTCTTCTTGGTCCCCGGCCATTTGATCTCCCCCACTGTGCTCCCAAAAATAGAAGCTACTGAGTCCCCAATGCCCACAGCAAGCACCCCAGAGTAAGGGGCCAGGGCCCCAGCCCCAGGCAAAGTAGCCTTTGAGGCACAAGGTCTGGGGAACAGCCAAACAGGGAGGGACATCCCCAGCAGAAGATAGATGTGAGTCAAGATCAAAGGCCCACTGTCCCGTTCATCCAAAAAGAGAGAGAGCAAGTTCCTGAGGGTGTGCCCCAAGGGTTTGATGGTGAAGTATCTGATGTACTCTAGAAGAATGAAAACTGCCAAGCACACCACAGCAGCCACATAGAGGAGCTGGCGGTCGTAGATGAGTCCTGGGACGTACGTTGCCACCACAATGAAATGGAAATATTTCCTGGTTATGGTTGATGCTTGGTGTTTCTTAGAACCAGATGACCTCTTGGCGTTTTGATAGAGAACCACTGTGCATGCCAAAGCAGCCAGGAGGATCCAGTAGGCGAGGAGATAAACTCTGGTCTGTGTTTGAGAGAGGAACTGGGAGAGCCAAAAGAGGGGGTTCTGCCGGATCAAGCGGTAGAGCCACGGCATGACAACCCCCAGACCCAGCACCGCCGTCATCATATGAAAGAACATGGAGGAGATCCAGGTCCCAGAATCCATGAAGAAAAAGAGGGCGGTGAAGAATATCCCAAGGAGAACCACCCCGACCACCACCACCAGGAGGAAGAAGTCAATCGGGTCCCCTCTGCTTTCGGTTACGTTCAGAGAACGTTTGATGAGCTGATTGAGGACGAAGCTTATTCCTGTCAGGACGAGCAGAGCCTCACCAGGAGTGAAGCATCGAGGCAGCAAGTATAGCAGTATCATACTGAGGTAGACAAAGATAAGCAGGACCTCCAGGACCTCAATCACTTCAGAGACCGTCAACGAGTGCTTCATGGTGTAGATGATCAGGCTGCCAGCAATGCCAGAGAGGATGCAGGTATTTGTTGGCACAGGTTTGGTAACACCGAGTGCTATCACAGAGAGGAACAGGGCGATGATCATGCCAGTGGAGGCTACGATGATGCCAAAACGCTCAAAGTACACGATACCAGCCGCTTGGCATCTCTCTTTCATCACAATGCCCAGCAATGGGACAGCCATGCAAGCTGGGAAGAGGCCACTGTTTGCTCCTGCCCGAAACTGGAAGACAGCACTGCCCAGGCGGAGGAGGTTGTCCCATTTAAACTGGATATAGAAAGCTTGGATTGCAAGCGCAATGGCGCACCAGGAAAAGCGATCCCAGACTGTGCTGTGCACACAAAGCACGATGGTGAACATGATGAGGGATTCCACAATGATGGGTTGCTTGCTTAGCATGGTGACAGCCAGACTGTTGCGCTCCCTGTGCTCAGAAAACCCTGGCAGCTGTTTGTTCTGGTCCAATATTTTCAAATGCGGTCTCTCTGTGTGTGTGTCTGTCTGTCTGTTTCCCTCACTGTCAAAAGCTCTCTTGTATCTTAGTGCCCTTCCTAGAAGTGAAAGCAAAAACCATCCCATTAAAAAAAGAGCGTATTATATACACCATCTGCTTCTTCCCTTGTACTGAAGGAAAGCTTCTCTTGTTTAATAAAAACATTGACACGCTCTGGAACTCCATGCAAAGGGAGGATAATTTCTGCCCCTCCTTGCTAGTTTTCCATCACAGTTAAGACCTTCCTATACTGGAAGGGCTTTTGTGGCTGGAGCTCATTGCTTGCCTTGCTAGAATTGAAAGGGAATCTTTTTCCTTCTGAAAGCGTAAATTCTAAATTGTTTATTCCTGTTATTATGGTAATTTTACTGTTGGTTTCATTCTATGTGATTACGTTTTTCTTAGCTGTTATGAACTATAAGAGGAAAGACACAGTGCAGATAAATAAAATATGGTTTAAGCACACTCCTTTGTTTACGTGACTTCTAGTATATTCTGTTTAAATCACTCTTGCCTCTCCCTGTTGCATGCAGATGTACAGATGCCAACATGGTGCCCTCCAGATGTTGAACACCCATCATAGAATCACTGTAGAGTTGGAAGGGACCCCAACCACAGCTAGCATGGCCAACAGAGAGAGGTGAATGGGAGTTATAGTCCAACAACACCTGGAAGGCACCAGGTTGGCTATCCCTTTGCTATAGAATACTTGGTTGCATCTAATGATACCCCCTTCTCATCTAATGATACCCCCTGAGACCTTCGGGTATAGAAATAAAATAAAATAAATACTCAGATTTGCCTCATTGAAATTAATGGGCGTAAGTTAGTCATAGAGTTGGAAGGGACTCCAAGGATCATCTAGTCCAACCCCCTGCAATGCAGGAATCATGGTGCAAGAACCCTTGACAGATAGCCATCCAATTTCTGTTTAAAAACCTCCAATGAAGGAGAGCCCACCACCTTCCAAGGGAGTTTGTTCCACTATTGAACAGCTCCTATCAACAGAAAGTTCTTCCTAATGTTCAGTTCTTATAATTTGTATCCAACTTGTTCAGGCCCTACCCTCTGGAACAGCAGAAAATAAGTTTGCTCTGTCTTCCATATAACAGCCCTTTGGATAACTGAATATGGCTACCAAATCACCTCTCAGTCTTCTCCTAAGCAACCTAAATATACCCCACTCCCTCAACTGTTTCTCTTAAAGCTTGTGTCATGAACTGAGAGGACAACAGGGAGGAGGAACAGGATCCTGGCAAGCTGTGACTGGGACCCACCAAGGCAAGCTGGGGATGGGAAAGGAGAGGTTGGAGTTGCACAGGATGACGGGATGGCAAGGGGGTGGGAGTCAAGGTGCAGGGACCAGAAGAGCAGGATCCCTCAACAGAATCAGAGAGGACTCTGTCTCCATGAACAAGGCAGGCTCTGAAGCGTAGTGAGCAGTGGGAGGTATGCTCTGGGAGGCTGAGGCAGGCAAGGCTCCACAGCCCAGGTGAAGCTCATTAGCCCCACAACCCGGGGGGGGGGGGGAGAGATGTGTGATTCCTCAGCTGAAGTAGGCTCAGAACAGGTGAGGATCATATGGCTTGTCAAGCCTAGATGCCGCAATCAGGATTCAAGAAATAAAAGGGAAACAGGTGAGGGGCTACATCTGCTTAACTGCCCATGTGGCTGGACCTTGGCTTAGATGCTCCAGGACTTCCAATGGACTGTTTTCCCTGACTGCTAGACTTTGGACCTGACATACTGTATAAAACAGTGGGACTTGCTGCCATGTATGCTGGGGATTCAGGACAGCTTGGTTTACAGACCCTTGATCACCTTGGTTGCCTTCCTCTGCACCTGCTCCAGTTTGTCAATATCATTCTTAAACTAGGGTGCCCAGAGCTGGCCACAGAACTCCAGGTGGTGTTTGACTATGGCAGAATAGAGAGGCCCTAGGACTTCCCTTGATCTGAACACTATACAATGGGTCTACTCTGAGCTCTGAGTAGGAATACCACTGGATACAACCCACTGTGGTTTGGTTGTTTAAGATAGAGAGAATTCTGCCTCACTGTGAGGATGGAGTAAATCATTCCTTCTGTTTCTACTGAAATCCATCTCCCTGATGGGGGGGGGGGAACCACTTATCTTGCTTCATTTCATTTATATACAAACAACCTATATTCTGATGGTATAGCTATTTAAAGCATAAACAATAAATTGATATACTTACATGAATCCATGGCACATCCACATCAGAAATAATATGTGTTGCATCCAATTAAGTTCTGTTTAAGAGTACACCTACTGGAATTAAGGTCAAGTCATGTCCAATCTTCTGCCCAAACTGGTTTTGCATGGTTGCTCCATACTCCCTGCAGCAAATGCTATGATTGTGTTTCCCACATAACACATGCAAGGAGTGTTGGCCACACCCACAAACCATCAAACACTTAAGCTAGAGTGGTCCAACTTTTCATGCCAAGTAGGCTGCAAGAGTACTTTGACACAGAACCCGTTGCACACAGGTGCAGGAAGTGAGTGAGGCAAACATCTGACAACCCTCTAGCCCTCATGTTGCCTTCCCAAAGCAGGCTAGGTGAGGCACAGGGATTGGGAAGGAGATGTAAGACTCTGGCAGGGTCCTGAAGCCCTCCCATCTCCTTCCCAATGATGGGAAAGTGCAAACTAGGCTTTGGGGAAGGAGGCAGGAGGCTTCAAGGACCCTGTCAGAGCCCCCATGCCTCCTTCACAAAGCTGGGTAAGGAGGCACCAGGTAAGGCAGTGCAAGGGCTGTGGGGTGGGGCATCTAATAATAATAATAATAATTTTTTATTATTTATACCCTGCCCATCTAGCTGGGCTTCCCCAGCCACTCTGGGTGGCTTCCAACAAAATATTAAAATACAGTAATGCATCAAACATTATAAGCTTCCCTAAACAAATGTTGTTATGGGCCACCAAAAAAGGCATCACATGTGGTCCCTGAGCCACATGTTGGACCACCCTGACTTAAGCACATGCATTTAGCAACCCTAGATCCATCAGTTGCATTTTCCAGAACTATGTTTCTTACCTATCACATTCGGTCAGTGTGATATAATGGAGAAAGCTGTTGAGCTTGGGTGTTGGAGGACCAGCCTCAAATCCCTGCTCAGTCATAAGGTCATGAAGCAGGGTACATGTACTTGGGCAGGTCAATCACAGCTTAATCTACCTCACAGGGCAATTCTAACAATAAAATGAGATAAAGTTAGAGAGTTACACATCCTGAGCACCTGAAACAGGCTTAGAGGGGAAATCTAAGCACACAACCACCCTACACTAGGCATGCAGAACTTTCTGCAAACAAGCTCTAATTTAGCCTTTAAAGCTTCCCCACCCCAAGCCATGGCCATTTGCCCCACAACAAATGTCTCACATGTAACCACAAAGGAACAATTGCACTCCTGCTCACTCCTTGGCAAGCGGAACTTGGTGCTAAAGGATCCACTGTTTAGCACAGACAATCCCCATTGGATCTTCCTTTGAAGGCCTGTCTCAAGTTCAAGCAGGACTGCAGAGTAAGAAAAGGAAGAATCAGGAGCACATGCCTAGTTCTTTCCTTTGAAGTTGCGTCACCTGATGTCACAGTGGCACCAAATGGTTGACAGGTAGGCAGTTCCACCAACCTGAAAAGTCGCCCACCCGTGGGGTGGAATGAGGATCTAGCTCACCAGTCCTCAAACCCTGCTATCTACCATAGAATTAAGTTGTGTTCACTCCCAATAATTCCCTCAAAAACAGTCTTATGCAATCCATTTAAATCAGTCACAGACCTATCCATATCTACCCCTCCTACAACCGTAATGAAGCAGCGGCCACAGTGAGATACAAAAGGCACCCACTATTTGCACTTTTCAGAAACAATTGCAGGCATTTTTGTTCTGGCAGGCTTTCCCAGCTGGATAAATGGGTCTTTAGTGTGAGTGTCCACTTGTTAGAAATTTAGTTTTGTTCTATAAGTATTTGCTGTTTTTAGTTACCTTATTGCCTTGAGATGGTGGTTTAGAATAAGATTAAAAAATCAGTGGTAATACCTGCCTTGACCCATTTTCACATTTCTACTTTCACACCCAAATGTCACCTTTATTTTCTATGCCTCCTCAATATGCAGTAAAAAAAAACAGCAGCAACAATAAGAATACACCTCTCTATCCCCTCTCCCCACAAAGTTGCTTAAGAATATTATCCCATTTTAAAATTTGCATCAACATTCTGTATAGCAGCAGAGAAAACAACTGAGCCTATCTCACAAGGTTACTGTGAGGGCAGAACGACTTTTGCACACTTAGATGAGTCCATGAGAACCATTGTTAATTACTGGTGTGCTGCCAACGCTTCCCACTGCCATTTACTGAGAGGGAAGGCTACTTTGTTTTACTTTTAATGATACCTGAAAGGTGTTTGTATTTATGTTTCTAAAGATGCCATTAGGTGCTTGGAGACCTTTGCATAGCATGTAAGTAACGCATCTGATGGATTCTGTACTTGACCTCTTTGTAATGTTTTATTTTGAAATTTTTAAGATAATAGCTTGGTTTCCTGCTAGTTATGTCTCTTTCAATGTATACTTTATATCTGACTTCCTTCAGTAATGTTTTATTCTAGATTGCTGTCTTCGTGTATTGTAAGTCACTTTGAGATTCCCCCCTTAAAAATATAAAGCGGAAATGAAATGAATAATATTAATGTAGAACAGTAATAAGCAAATAGCAAATAACACAAAGACCATGAACTCCAGGGTAGCGTCAGGTTGGCTCACTGCGCGATCGGTTAACTTTCTGCATTCAGCACCCTACACTGGGCTACCTTGGTTCTGGCAAACACATTTAATTTATCAAATCTAAATATATAAATAATATTAATAAGCCAAATAAATAAATGCATTAAAAATATTTATACCCAGCTGCTCTTTCTCCCGCACCCACCATAAATTTTAAAATATATATTTTTAATGAAAGCAACCTCAACAGGCCTCCACAAACCTTCCATTGCCTCACCCAGCTGATCCCTCTTCTGTAATAAACTCACCCTACTGGGCGCCGCCATCTTGTCGACGTGCTACGCACAACACGTCACGTCGCCGCCCTCACCCTGCGCCCCTCACGCTTCCTCCCCCCACCACTGGGGCAAGAAGAGGCAAGAGAGAGAAGGGCCTTGTGTCACGTGACTCGCGGACAGCGGGAAAGAGGCGCTCTAGCCGTTCGCTCCACCTTCTTCTTTCTCCCTTTCTAGCTCATGGATTGGCTGATTTTGGGAGGGAGAATATCACGTGGGAAAGGGGGTGGGGCAGGGGAAGAGGCAAGATGGCGACTGGGGGGCTGTGCGCGAGGTAAGGGAAGGCGCGCGTTGCGAGGAGCGACTGACTGATTGGGTGAGGGCGAGGGGAGAAAAAGATCGTGCAGTTTCAAAATGAAATAAAATGATTTTATTTTAAATTGTGGCTAAATCAGCCCGAGAAGGGAGATTGTTGGGCCAGAGCTTAGCCCTACTCCAAAGTCGGCCCCTTTGAATGAATGCATGTGGTTGGTTTTAGTCGTTTTATTGGGGTCATACCTGCAATTAGAAGCTAGTTGGATTCATGCTTAGAAAGTTGAGGTAATTTTAATCTGTTTAAGTCTTCTAACTTTTGTTTGTTTCAAAGCAGGGTTGTTGATTTTTCTTGATTTTCTTGTTTTATCTTTTTGTAAACTGCTTTGAGTTTTTTTTTCTTTTAAAGAACCCAGCAGTGTATAAATCTTGTGAAATTAAATAAATGAATAGGAAGCTGCATTCTCATGATTTAGCCCATTGGCCCATCTAGCTTGGTGCTGCCCACACTGACCAGAAGTAGTGGCTCTTTGGGGTTCCTGTCAGGGGATGTTGAAAGCGGTACATGGAGATGCTGTTTGGGACTGAACCTGGGAAACTTATGCATGCCAAGCAGATGCTTCAGTCACTGGGCTATGGCCCTTCCTTGGAAGACACACCACTTCCTTTTACTGAGTTGCACCTTTGGTCCATCTAGCTCATTATTGCCCACACTGGCTGGCAGCAACCACTCTCCAGGTTTTTGGACAGGGTATTTTCCCCAACCTTACCTGGAGATGCAGCTGGGGATTGAACTTGGGACCTTCTGCATGCAAATAAGATGCTCTGCCACTGAGCTATATGCATTCTCCTAAATGTAAAAGAAGGTTCTAGTCCTCATGGTCTTGAATAAAGTGCACAGTTAAACAGGGGGCAGGGGAAACTGCCGTATACCAAGTCAGACCATTGGCCCTTCTAGCTCAGTATTGCCTACATGGACTGGCAGCCACTCTCTAGAGTTTCAGACAGGGGGCCTTCCCAGCCCTACCTGGAGAGGCTGCTGGGGATTAACCCTTTGCCTTTCTGTGCACCAGACAGAAACTGTAAGCACTGAGCTATGTCTCAGTCTTTTACTGAGTTAAAGGCTGATTTAAATAGGATCTTAGGAAGCTGTTTCTTGGTCACTCTGGGCTACATTTTCTTCAGGTGCACAGGAATGGGAAGTTCATATTGGCAATGTACATAAGTGTGCTGTGTGTGTAGAAGTAACTGTACTTGGGGCAGTGTTAGAAACTCGGATATATAAGCTATTCGCCAAATGGCCCCTTAAGCCTAGGTTAAGCGTGTGCACATGCGCGCGCGCACACACACACACACACATATATATATATACAGTGGTACCTCGGGTTACATACGCTTCATGTTACAGACTCTGCTAACCCAGAAATAGTACTCTGGGTTAAGAACTTAGCTTCAGATGAGAACAGAAATTGCGTGGCGGCAGCGGGAAGCCCCATTAGCTCAGGTTAAGTGGTATCTCAGGTTAAGAACAGTTTCAGGTTAAGAACGGACCTCCGGAACGAATTCAGTACTTAACCTGAGGTACCACTGTATATGCAAGAGTATGAAGCAAAAACTGGACAGCCAGTTAGGAGATGGTCCCCCCAGAGACTGATGGAATTTGATGGATCCTTGACTGCTCTGGGGGATTTCCCAGTGGATAGAGCAGGTAATCCAGTTGGTAATTGCAGAAGAAGGTAATTGCAGAAGAAGTTGGATGTTCCCAAAGTGCAGTATCGAAGCACATTAATGGAAAGTTATGCGGAAGGGAAAAGTGTGGAAGAAAAAGGTGCACAAGCAGCAGAGATGACTGCAGCCTGGAGAGGATTGTCAGGAAAAGACCATTCAAACATGTTGGGGACTTTCACAAGGAGTGGACTGAGGCTGGAGTTAGTTCATCAAGAGCCACCACACACAGATGGATCCTGGAGATGGGCTTCAAATGTATTCCTCTTGCCAAGCCGCTCCTGAACAAGAAACAACGTCAGAAGCGTCTTACCTGGGCTAAAGAAAAAAAGAACTAGTCTGTTGCTCAGTAGTCCCAAGTCCTCTTTTCTGATGAGAGCAACTTTTGCATCTCATTTGGAAACCAAGGACCCAGAGTCTGGAGGAAGAATAGGGAGGCACACAATGCCAGATGTTTGAAGTCCAGTGTGAAGTTTCCACAGTCTGTGTTGATTTGGGGAGCCATGTCATCAGCTGGTGTTGGTCCACTGTGCTTCATTAAGTCCAGGGTCAACGCATCCGTCTACCAGGAGATTTTTTAGCACTTCATGCTTCCTTCCACAGACAAGCTTTATGGGGATGCTGACTTCATTTTCCAGCAGGACTTGGCACCTGCCCACACTGCCAAAAGTACCAAAACCTGCAGAATGCAGAAGAGCTGAAGGCTGCTATTGAAGCATCCTGGTCTACCTTAGCAGTGCCACAGGCTGATAGCATCCATGCCACGCCGCATTGAGGCAGTAATTGATGCAAAAGGGGCCCAAACTGAGTACATATGTATGCTTCTACTTCTCAGAGGTCTAATATTGATCTATTTGCAATCCTTGTTTTGCTGATTGCATTTAATATTCTAATTTTCTGAGATTGTTAATTTGGGGTTTTCATCAGCTGTACGCCATAACCATCACAATTATAACAAATAAAGGCTTGACATATCTCGCTTTGCATGTCATGAGTCTATCTCATATATTAGTTTCACCTTTTAAGTTGAATTACTGAAATAAATGAACTTTTCCATGATATTCTAATTTTTCGAGTTTCACCTGTATGTGTTTTACTGAGAGTTGTGAAACTCCATTTATTTCCTGCTTGTTGTTGCATATTTGTATCATGATTTCCGTCCCTGGAGCTCCAATGCTCAATAGAAGGCCAAATTTTAAAAATAAAAACTTAAGAGTATTTTGAAAACTAAAGTATGGTACCAATATTTTTATTGTATAAACAAAATAAAACATGTATGTTCTATTTATTCATTCATTCACCTTTTGTAACAAACTTCAGTTTTTTTCTCCTTGTCACAGTACTCATAACAAACTGGACAGTACTCTTTTTTTATTAAACATATTTATTAAATTTTCAAAAATTATACAAAAAGAAAAACAATAATACAAACAAAAACACAAACAAAACAAGTATAATTTCATTCCCTTATTTTCTTATAACTTACTTCCCCGACCTCCTCATACCTCCCCTTTCTGTATTCCAATTTCTAATTCATTAGTTCAGCAAATCCTCTCCCTTAATTTTGTTTAGTTTTTAACCTTTCTTTTCTTTTTACTTGATCATTACAGCTGAGAACCACTTAATTTCAAAAATCAACATCGTTCTAACATTCATTAATTTTGCAATATTTCTTGAGATAGTCTTTAAATTTCTTCTAATCTTCTTCCGCCGTCTCTCTCTTCCTTCTCCAGGCCCTGTTTCCAACAGTCCAAAAATTCTTTTGTCAGGAAGTCCACCAAATTATCCTTCTCACTTTCGGGTACTGATCTGATTCTTAAATTCCTCTCTTTCCTTTGTAGTTCGATCATAGACAATGTCAGATCATGATCCTCCAATTTCTTGAAGACCGGTGGTATCTGCTCCTGAGTTGCAGTAGCAATTTCCTTAGCTTCCTCAGCAATCTTTCTAGTTGTAGCCGAGTCCTCTAAAAGTCTTTCAATAGTCTGTGTGTTAGAATTCACTTTCTTCCCAAGTTCATTAATGCTTGTCGTGTTCAGATCAATTTTTGCAGAGATCTCAGCTACTTGTTTATTAGTTTCTGCAACTTGTTTACTTGTCTCAGCTCCCTGTTTCGTTAGATGTTCCAAGGATTCATTAATTTTACCAAGTACCTGTGCAAAAGCATCTTCAGATGACATAGTTTTTAGTTTAGTTTGTGAGGCAGCAGCTGCTCCTGTGCCTCCGGATGTTGAAGCTCTTCTCTGCTGAGAAATATCAGTCTTGTATTGTCTACCAGACCTGAGGCCTTTGTCCTCTATTTTTCCTTTTCCATTTGCCATAACACTCTCATGCAAAGTCAAGGTCGCTTCTTACGTCTGTAGATTTGTTTTGGAAAGCAATTTTCCAGTGACTGTGCAGCTAGTAGCTTTATTGTTGTTGCAACAAAGTATCCTCTAGGGAGTGTTCCCCAACCGGTGTTCCGCGCACATAGTGTGCCGCGAGACGTTGCCTGGTGTGCCGCGAGATGTTTCCTGGAGGGAGGCGGGCGAGTCAGGCGGCGAGAGGTGGGGCGGCCGGCGGCGAGGCAGAGGCCGCCCAGCACGGGGCTCTCGCCGTCTCCTGCCTGCTGCCTGCGTGCGCTGACGTCCGGGGCTGTAACGTCCCCACATAGGCACACGTGGGGCGCGAGCGACGCTCCCTCCCATCCCATCGCCGCTCGCTTCGGCCGGCCTACTGGGCTGTCGCAGGCGGAAGGCCTGCGCATGCGCGAGGTTTTCGCGCCTTCGGGATTCCCTTCACGCCTTCCTCCTCCCGGGTCCTTGAGAGCGCGGGAAGCGGCAGCGCGAGACCGGCGTTGAGCCTGGTAGGTATTGCGCTTGCCAAGGCAGTCATTTGGGAAATGAAAACTTGCAAAGCAAGCAACCAGTTCAATCTGAAGTACGTGT